GGACGTAAATCAATTTATATAGATAACAGAACAGATCTTATATCTGTAGAATTAAAAAAAAACTACGAACATAAAGAATCAAACAAAAGTTGAACCCAAAATCAAACCCCAGTCCTATTACATTCAATACGATCATAGTTTTTGAAATACGGTAATAACCGATGACTTATGAATATATTATACTTTTCCAAATTAAGTTAAACCCGCGCCGGTGCGCGGGTCAAGATCTAGTTTATATTATTAACATTGAAGTATAAAACATTATTAATCTTAATTTTAACAAATTTATTATATATTTTATTTTTTATTTCACTCATTTTAATTGTTTTATTAATTGTTTCTTATCAAATAATTTGATGGCATTTATTATTATAAAAGTACAAAACATAACTTATTTATTTTAAATGTTTTATAATATCTTTTACAATTATTTTACGCCTTTAAATTACTACTATTTACATAATAATTCGACGTCATTATTTTATATGGCATAATAATTCCACATGTTCGAATGAAATTTCCTATTAATACAGAAATTCAAATCAGTTAAAAAATATGTTTTTTGTTTACATAATCAGTTAAATATGAGCATTCAGATACATATCAATCTTTTAATTTTTAGATTTGAAAATAAAATCATGTTCGGATATTATAAATTTTCGGACAGGATTCAAATCAGTTTCTTCCCAAATTGTTTTGTAGAAACCTAAAAATATCTAAATAACCTATATTTATATGTTTTAGAAAATCTATACTATTATTTGCGAAGAGATTTTTCGCAACGGAGCTCTCACGTTAAACGTTAGAGTGGTTAATATCGTTTATACCCTTAATGAAAATAATATATAAATCAGCTAAAAATAAAAACGAATTTAATAATTATTTGATTAGATAAATGATTTAAATTGATAATAAGGATAAGAATTATCCATAATCTAAATATATAGATAAAAATAAAATAAAAAAGATAATTCTTATAGATATTTTGTTATTATCCTGAAAATATATTTTTAATAAAAAATTCAAAAACAAAAACACATAAATAAATATTCATAAATTAAAATTTTTAATTTTATATAATTAAAAAGTATAATACGTCATTATTTTCAAATTAAAATAATATAATATAATGATATATATTCGTGAAGTTATTTTCACCTCTGAATTCAGACGTTAAATTAAATTTATGTTTATATTTTATATAGTTAAACCTTAAACATGAAGTAATCATATAAAATAAAAGATCATTCAAAAAGAAAGAAAGTACGGGTTTGACAAAATTATATTCAAATATATTGTATTATTATCCAAACTAATTTTATTCTTTCTATAAGATCAATTTTTGAATGTATATTTATCGATTCAATTTTTCAAATTGAAAAATAGATTTCTATATTTTTTATCAATTAAGAAGAAATGAAATAGACTTTAGATTTTTTTTTTTTTTTAAAGGAAAATATAGATTTGTTTTTAATTTGTGAATAAATTTATCAATGTAAAAAATTTTAATGTTATAAGTCGAACTATTTGGATGCAAATAATCATTTATTTTGATGATTTTTTAAATTGACTTAAATATAATTAAGTCCGCATGTCCGCATTTAAGTGATTTTTCGCAATGAAGCTCTCACGTTAAAAGTTACACTGGTTAATTTCGTTTATATCCTTAATGAATAAAATATATAAATTACATACAAAATAAAAACGAATTTAATTATTTTAATTAGATAAGTAATTAAAACTAATAATAATCATAAGAATTATCCAAAATCTAAATAATATGTATTTAAATAAGATAATTCCTATATATATTGTGTTGTTATCTACACATATATTTTAATAAAAAATACAAAATACATAACTAATATTAATCAAGTAAACTTCTTAATTTTATATAATTGAAAATATTATTTGATTTTAGGATTTATTTTTAATAGTGAACATAATATACAAAGAAATATATGTAAGAATGTTTAAATGAAAATATGAATATTATTTCTTTAAAAAAACATAAATAATAATTTATCATTATAATCTTTCAATTAGTAAAAGTATATTAGTAAAATAATTATAAAATGTTTAGGCCCGCAAGTGCGGGCAAAACACCTAGTTATTAAACAATTTAGATAAAACTAATTTTGCGTGTGGATCAAATTCTAATTATAAAATTACTAGTGCCGGTCCGCGCTTCGCGCGGAATATATATATTTGATCAATGTAGAATCGATCAATTTCAGCTTATGATGTTGGTTTATCTGAGTTTGGTAAAATACATGTCTAGGATCATCCTTGTTGGTTACTCTAGGTTTTTATGCTCGGTATGGTTGAATAATCGTCTAACAGTTGATGAGATTGGTGAACTGTGTCAACTATATTCTCGATATTTATTTGAATGAGTTTAATTTTTGCATGGTATGTATCAATATGGTTTTTTTCTGAAAAAATGTATCAATATGTTCATTTTTTGTTTTATCTTTTTTTTTTCTTTTCATGAGACGTACGCCCTATGACTTTGTGATTATTGAATATAACTGAAACTTCTGAAAAGTATTTATGAATTGAAGAGTTAACATATTTAAATTTATTAATGGCTAAGACAATATAATAGAATGTATAAATTAAATGTGTGAATACCAAAGGGGAGATTATGTAGGTTGAAAAAAAAAGATTATGTAGGTTGGAGAAGTAGAGTGAGACCTGGGCTAGATGCAAGATAGATTCCTATTTCACGTTGATCTTTTGTTATCATCTTTAAGCAATTCACAACGCTTGTGATGAGTCTCATGCTAGGCTTTATGGGTTTATGTACTCACATACAACAGGAAAAATTGGATATTTGTATAGAGGAAGTAAATAACACAGACTTCTTAAGCCTGATAGTTAGGCATGTTCATGATTATTATCTCTTTTCTCTCTTATTCATCTAACAAACTTCCTTTTAGCTCTGCATAAGACGCGTGTTTCATCATCTTCCCTTTACCATCTTCTTCTTCTTCTTCTTCTTCTTCTTCTTCTTCTTAATCTTAGTTGTTGTTGCATCTGATCAGACATAGATGCCATGTATCATCAAACATGGAAGAAATTAAACAATCCTTAATTTAGATCATATTAATGAATTCTCAGTAGACTTGAGAAGCACTGTCTACATACCTTGAAAGCTGAGACAAATATGATCAATAGTCAAACCCTTTATACAAAAGCATCGAATCATTTTTCAATTTTGCTACTCTCTATGATTCTCCAATATTAAGAAGAAGAAAAATGATTGTCCAATAATAATTAGAACACTGTCAAAATTTTAACACGCAAAATATTTCAAAATCAGATGTTCTTAAAAAGTATTTTGGACATGTTCAATATCACTTATTCGTATGTTCTTCCTCTACAAACTATGAATATATCTTACATCATAGTCCATAGATAAAATAAAACTTATAGATCGAAAATACTAACCCTCGTTATACATTCACGTGATACATAGAGAGAGGCATAACTTTCAACGATTGATAAATCAAACCAAATTTGACGTATAGAAATTAACAAAGGAAACGCCAAAACTCATGAGGCAAGAGATTTTTCAAACGCGGCCGCCACAATCTTAACAACACAGAACACGCCCACAGAGATAAAAATTCACAGATTCAACGCTGATAACGGCGGGTGCTTTACCAAAAACACGGGAACAGAAGTGTATCGCATTCAGAAGCTCCGGAAACCACCGAATCCAGCTTCATCGTCGTCTTCTTCTTTGCTTTCATCCTTAAATTTTAACCTGTAACTCAAAGTATTGTACTTGTGCCTGGCACTGTTGTCCCAGGTGCACCCACGGCATTGATCGCGGTTAAATCGACGGATCAAAGTCTTCCACCGTGGTCCAGCTACGATCTCTAACCACTATCGGATCTTCAGAATCGCAAGTATCCACCATTTGGCTCGTGCAGGCGGTGATTGCTGTGTAAATCAATAGTGTCCCCCTGCACCAGGAGGACCCACACGGTGAGGCAGGAACAGCAAGGGGAGTCACAGAGAAGCGGATCGGAGGTATTCTCCGGTTCAGGAGCTGCTCGCCAAACTCACCGTGAAATTTCAGTTATGAGGTGATATGTTTTCCGTTTGGGAAGAGATCTCCGACACAGCCATGAAGAACCGTTGGCTCTACAACTCCCACATATTAGGAAACTTAAAATAGGATGATGAATTTAACACAGAAGAACTTATCTTTTAGAAGATTTTGAAGAGGAAGTAAAGGAGTTGCATTCAAAGATCGTGGGAAAACTGGAGAGCAATGGTTAATGGAATACGACGCTTCATTCATCCTTATACTGTAACAATTCAAGATTCTTTTGACTGAATAAAGAGTTAGGGTTGGTAAAGGTTTGCGTAGACGGCGGAGTGACCAAGAGGAACAAAGGCTCAGGACGACATATGT